TAGGGTTTTCAGAAACCCTTCTCTCGCGCCCTAAACTTCTAGCTCCCCTATCTCTCTCCACACGCCACGGTTTCACTCGATTCCAAAACGAAAATTGATCTACTAAATGCCTAGAATAAAATGGTACGATCAGTTTTTCTTGATTCCACCTAGGTTGTTCTAACAGAATGCCTAAACATCTTAGTACAACCATGGTTATCTGATATCAACTGAGATCAACCTTCATTAAACTTCAGTATAATGATGCAATCATGTTCTTGATGTTATCCTAGTTATTCTAACCTAATTCTTGCTACCTAAAACTCATAATTCAAACCATTCTTGCAAATCAAAGATTTCTGGTCCTGCCATGGAACCTCATGGAACGGGCTGTAACTCAAGGGAAAGAATCCTCTACCCTAGTGAATCATTTCTATGCCTAAGAAACCAACTGAAACTGCATAATTTAGGAGGTATAAGGTGAAGAAGAAACCTGTCAAGAGATTATGGTGCAGTGATGTTGAGCACGATTCAAGCCTTGAAATTGCTTGCAGTTGATCCTTGAATGATCCTCAACCTTCTGTTTGCACTTGTGATGGTGGAGATGGCTTGTAGTGGAAGAATTCTTGAGTTGCTTCAACTTGAAGAAATTGCTTCAATGGCTATGTATCTCTCTCCCTCCTCTGACTTGGCTCAAGTTTCACCAACCTCTAACACTCCTCATGGCATTCTTTTTATAACAATCATTGGATGTTTCTAGATTCATCTAGAAAGTGATGGAAACTTCTTGAAAATTCCATGATATGCCATAGTGGATATCTCATATCCCATGTGCCATGCCTTGCAATTTTGTCTTAAAATACCCTTACATGAGTTATTAAGTGAGGATGAGTGAAAAACAAGTCCATTTTTGGCTTGTGTAGGGTTTTTCAACATTGCCTTCTTTTTCAAGTAATAAATTTCCAAAGGAAGTCCATTTTTGGAGCCTCAAATGAAAAATATATTTAAACCAAAGTTCTTAAAATGGTTTTTCCAATCAAAATGATATATTGGATGACCTATTTTGGATTTGTGGATCTCCCAAATCACTTTTCAATTTCAACTTTTCAAAGTTATAAGTCATTTTTAGTACATTTTTGACCAATCATGGAATCTTGTGCTATGAGCTTTTTCAACAATTTGTGACCTTCTTTCTAGACTTAAAATCACATTTTGAGCAACTTTCATGTTTTGAGTTTTTCCATTTGAGGCTTGGAAATAGGAGTTTTAGGCATTGGCTAAAATGACCTATAACTGACAAATGACCAAAATACCCCTGCCTTGTTCAAACCATAAGTTGAGTTCTACACATCCAATCAAGGACTTCTACCACTCAAATTAAAGCTAAGAAGATCCTCTTCAACATTCATGTTGACCAAGAAATCATAGGAATCATCCTACTAGGGCAAAAGTTGTCTGCAAGTTGGGTGACTTTCAAGGACCCAGATTCACACACCTCTGCTGATCTATAATTTGTCAAAACCATAACTTGAGCTCTGTAACTCCTATCAAGGGCTTCCACCACTCAAATTAAAGCTTAGAACAAGCTCTACAACATTCATGTTGTGGGGAAGATGAGATATCAATCACAACTTGGGCTAAAACTGCCTGGAAGATAGGGATCAAATTAGGGTTTTTTCACTGACAATCCTCAGAAACCCTAACTCAAAGCTTCTCAAACTCCTCAATCATGATGAGTTGGTCTAGGAATCATCTTTATAACATCTCAATACATCATTTCATGATCTCATGGCCCTTGGATTAAGTCTCAACCTTCTCCAAATCTTCAGCTGATCTAGGGTTGACTCAGTCAAAACCCTAATTCTACCATTCATGGTTGAATCTTCTGAATTCTTGCATAATGACTTCTCTGGGCTTCATGATGGCTATCAAGACATCTCATAAGCTTTCTCAAAACATCAAGTTCATTCTCAAAGTCTCAGAATCATCTGAGGGGCACTCACAACTTTCAAACTGGGAAGCATACAACCCTGGTTTCAACCCACTCCTCTGAGGATCTCTTGAACTTTCTGATGAAGATACCAACTTTCAAACACTTAATGAATAAATAATTGTTGGTCAAATTTTGGGGTGCAACAGCGAGAAAGAGAGTTAAGTTGAATAGGTAGTTAGGGTTTCGATTGCACGGAGGCGAAGAAGATAAGGTCGGTTAGATATTTTGAGGGAGAATGACGACTACTCGATAAACGAGACGTCAGTCTCGCAACCAATTAGTCGGGATATCGTTGGAATGCTAGATCCCAACGACACCTTTTTCATTCAATTAATTAGGAAATTGTATTTGAATGGACAATGAATGCTTGTCCAAATAGTTAAGGCGCGTGTTTTAGACGAAAGGTCGAATGACACGCTACCTAAGGCGTACGCCTCAATAGTTGTCATTCAAGAATTCAAGGAGTGCGAGACTCCAAGAACTCAGTTCTTTCGTAATTTGATTAAGAAAAATGATTTGACGTATGGTTTAGAAACATACTAGTGTTTAGACTCGATCACACGTGAGTGAGGAACGAGGTTAGATGGGTTGAAAACTTTAGGAGGAATGACGACTAATCGATAAACGAGACGTCGGCCTCGCAACCAATTAATCAGGATATTACTGGAATGCTAGATCCCAACGATACCTTTTTCGTTCCATTAATTATAAAATATGTTTGTTGGACAGTGAAAGTACTTGTCCAAATAATTATAGGAAGTATTTTAGGAACGAAAGTTCGAATGATATACTATTTAAGGTGTACACCTCGATAGTAATCATTCTCGAATTCAAGGAATGCACGACTCCAAGAACTCGATTCTTTCGTAATTTTAAATTAGAAAATATTTTGAATAGTTTAGCGTTCTCAGACTAGGCGCGCTAGGTATTCTAGAAATATAAGATTGAAAGTAAGAAAAGTTACCGAACGGAGTGGTTCCGTTGACCCTTAACTTTGCGTGTAAGATTTATTTCCAAGCTCCTCTTCTTTGATCTTTGGTGATGATAGCTCGACTTATGAAGGGAGTTAAACTAGGTCGCGTATTTGTGTTCTAAAAATGTAAGATCAAAAGGATCACAGCTCAAAGTGTGCACCCCAAGAGCAATCCTTCGGAAATTCAAGGAAGGCGAGATCCAAGAATTCAATTGTTTTGACATTTGATTAAGAAAAATAGTTTTAATTTTCATATATAAAATAATTTAATCAATTATAAAAAAGTATTGAGAAAAACTAATCATAATTAATTTGTTTTGAAAAAAATTTAATATCTTAGAAAAATATTTAACTTTATTAATAAAATATAATTTTCTAAAAGTTTAATATTTAAAATATTTATTCGGTGATAATTTTGAGATTTATATTTTTCTAAAAGAAAGAATAACTTGAATTTCTTACTAAAATATCTAATCAACAAAAATTGTTTAAAAATTTTAATTGAATAAAAAACAATTTGGAAAATAAAAGACGGGACAACCACAACTCATGGCGTGCGCCTTAAGAGCGGTTATCCAAGGATTCAAGGGATGCTAGACCCCAAGAACCCACTACTTTCGATATTTAAATAAAAAGGGTTTAAAAATATTAACTAGAATAAATTGTGATTTTAATCTAAGTTTACAAAAGATTTAAATCTAATTGCTATTTATATATAAGTTAGTTAATTAAGGTTTAATTAAACAAACTAATTGAGGTGAAAAAAAAACATTAATATTAATCAATAAGAATAAGTAATTAACTAAATAATTAATGAAATTTAATCACCAAATTAACTAATTAATGAATTAATGAAATTTAGTCCACAAATTAATTAGTTAACAAATTAATGAAAGCAATTAGCATTATTAAATCAATAAAATCAAGTGATATTCTCACCATAAACAGTAAGAATTACTAACACCTCAATGAATGTCGAATCAAAACTTAGTGACCGCAGCGCAAAACTCAATTCCAAACATATATTGCAATGAATTTGATCCTATCATGCTTCCATATTGACACTCTAATAAAAAATGGTGCATCATGATGAGATTAGTATGAACTATTATTTGCAGAATTTAGCAGTAACATCAGTATTCACCGCCAATGTTTCAATTCAGTGTAAATTCAAATCACCACGAATGAAAAAAAAACTCTTAATATTGTAGCAACTTAATGAAAAAAGAATTATTTCAACAAAGCATGAAAGAAATAGCTCTTGATGGTATCAATTCACAGTGTGACAATAAAGGAGAGCAAACGCAGAGCAAAATAAATAAGTAATGTCAATCTCCAATTCAAAAATCGACACGTTACCAATGTCGAAAATTATAATTCTTACCACAGATCCAAACCAGTTGTCCAATATAAGTGAAGGGTAGAACAAGATCGCCAAGACGAAGCGTCATCCAAGATTTAGAGTTGCTGCTGAGTAGGATTTGTTAACTTTGCTGTCATGTTAAAATGTCACCGAACTTCAACAGCTTGCTACCCTCCTAATCGGAAACAAGTCGAAGCTGGAGCTGCAGAGTGTCGTTGAGGATGTCACGGCTGTATTGTAGCTGATGTGTGTGCTGCCGTTACCGCTCGCTCGCGGCTGCCTGCTATTGTTGCCTAATGGTGGCTTCGGAAGCTTCAATAGTCCTTGATCACTTTTTTTCATATGATTCAAACATGATACAACCATAGAAGTGAAATAGTGGGCATAAACACAGCAGCTAAAAACTCAGGACAACAAAGGGATTAAGGAAAGCAATTTCAGATGCAAAAGTACAAATGCAGCAATTATCAGTAGTTCGATGTTCGCACTCTCCCTTTCATTCTCGTTCCTGATTCTCTTTCGACAGGGCCACAACCTCAACGTTCAAACTGCAATATCTCTTCACCGACGTCTTCACGGTGCCTTGACCATTACCGAAATTGGATTCACCCTTATGACGCTACGAAGTCGCTCTACTGCTATTTTATCATCAACCTAATATTACACCCATAAGATCTGGCAGTGGTTCATATTCACACGACTTGGCGTTGAATTAGCTGCTCGTGTATCATTCTGAATTTGTCTTTGAGCCTGTTGATCCTTTTCAGTTCGATCTCCATATCTCCCTTCTGTTGTCCCAATGAAAGTTGCAGATTGGTTATGTCAAAAACATTTTCCAGGTCATCTTCAAACGCGGATTCTAGGTCTTCCCGAAGCCGTGCAGGCAACTTGTCCACAATGGGCATCAAAAGGAAACAGTTGAACTTTAATTCTGTTGAAACCAAGAAATATTCTCGTATGCCGTGAAATATTTGTTGTACCAAACCATAAACAATCCTTTCAGATGACGGAGCAAGCCTCCGATTCCAAAGTGTGCTATCGAGAAGGTCAGCGAGCTTTGTTTCAGCTGTCTGGCTAGATGTGCTAGAATCAGTTCCAGAGGCGACATGACTGAGCTTTACTTCTAGTTGTGGCTTTGTGTCTTCCTTATCTTGCACATTTGGTTGTGATAGAGCAGTGGCAGTAGGATCATTTGAATGTTCTGTTCCACCAAATGAATCTAAGAACTGGCGTAATCCGGCCCGACTCTTATTGTGTAGAGACCATGAGACATATCGCGTGGTGCTTACCAAATCCTCCATACATTTTTCACGGCATGATTTTTCAGTAGATTCCGCAAAGTTGTCGAAGGCAGAGGCAACACGCCTGAGGAACACCTGATGGCCACTTAGATACTCACAATCTTTCTGAAGAAGATAAAAAGAGATTGGAGTTTTGAAGGAGAGAGGGTCGTGCGTGTTGAAGGCAAAGAAAAACGAAGGTTGAGAGAGTTTTTGTTCACAAGTGAAGGAGATGATTCGATGACGAAAACAGAGGGTGAAAGAGAAACCGACGGCGGTGTGTGTTTTGTGAGAGAGATGATGGTAAGGGTTGTAATGGCGGTAGAAGAAAAAGGAATAAGATTGAGAGAGGAAAGAAGGGTTTTGTGGAGAGATGGCTAGGGTTTGACGGCCAGATTTTGTGAGAAGAAGAAGAATGTGAGGGATTCAAAGGAGAAGAACAGCGACTTGATGGTGGTGATGGAAAAATGGTAGTGGATTTACGGTGATGAAGAAAAGGTCTAGGGTTTTTTCAGAGGAAACGGGGCGGCGGCCGATTTGGGGGTTGATGAAAAATGCTCTAGGTTTTTCCTCTGAGGAAATTTGCGGCGCCCCCCCTCGAAGAAGATAAACAGTACTCTTCTTATACTCTCTTCCCATCCTCCATGGGCCTCAACACACGGTCCAAGATCCACTTCTCCTTTCTCTCATCCGTTTTTCCTTTATCTTAATTTTTAAATTAATAATAAAAACTCAAAAATATTAATACAAGTTAAACCTTACAATATTAATTAACACAACTAATTAATAAACAAAATAATAATAATAATAATAATAATAATAATAATAATAATAATAATAACTATTAAATGAATATTAACAATGTATAAAAACAAACTAAAATTTATATTCAATAAAAAGGCAATATTAACAAAATATATGTACAAAATATTTATTATTATTAGTAATATTTTAAAAGAAAGAAAAAAAAACTTAGGAAATTGAAATGAAAATAATATTCACAAAAAAAAACATAGGCCATGTGTCACGCTTTAATTGGTCAAAAAGATAAAGTTTTAAAAAGCCAACCAATTGCAAGCGGACACGTGTCCAAATAACAAGAAATAAAGGGGGCAATCTAAAACATAAAAGAATAAAAAACAAAAATATTTAAAAATGGGTAGGACAAATTTAGGGTATGACAGATGCCCCTATCTAATTGCCTTGAACCTGAGAGAATGAACAGCTGCATGGCGTTCATTTTCAGGGTGGAAGTCAATTAGATACAAGAAGACCCCGAAATTTGTCCGACAATCAAGTAAAAATGCAAAGAGACGGGATATACCAGAACGGGATGACAAGATGCAAAATGGATGAACGAGATAACCTGATATTCTCTGGGTGGTCAAAGCAGTCCCTTATCCAATAAGGTTCTTCGCGGTACCAGAGTGGTATCTCGAGCAAAACTTGAGATTCTTCGGGTGGTCGAAGCAGTACCTTATCCATTAAGGTTCTTCGCGATATCGAAACAGTATCTCGAACAAAAATTGGAGATTCTTCGGGTGATCGAAGCAGTACCTTATCCATTAAGGTTCTTCGCGATACCGAAACAGTATCTCGAACAAAAACTGGAGATTCTTCGGGTGATCGAAGCAGTACCTTATCCACTAAGGCTCTTCGATGATACCAAAGCAGTATCTCGAACGAAACTTGAGATTCTTCAGGTGGTCGAAGCAGTACCTTATCCATTAAGGCTCTTCGATGATACCAAAGCAGTATCTCGAGTGATAATTTTGCTGAGGAATAGTTGAGCTAAAATTCCTATTAGAGGAGCAGCGTTGTACAAACTCTGCGGGGAAAAGATCTTCAAGAAACTTTTAAAATAAACTCCGCTTGGGGAGAGACAAGAGCAACAGTTGTTGGGAAATATCATTATCAACTGCATGAAATGACTTGTTGGGGAGTAAAATTCTATGAACGCGCGGGGTATCAACTCTTTTCAGAGAAATACTGCCGACTTTGATGGAGGACCGGTCAGGATGCTTGTGAATTGATCCTGGATCCTGGTATGCTATGTCCCGGGGGACAGAAATGCTATGCGTTTATGATGCGCAAATATGCAACTAAAATGCAATTATGCTAGGGAATGTAAGATGCATATGTAAATGATTGATATGTAATGTGTATGAAGATGCAATCGGGTAACAGAATTATGGTAAGGCTTCATTTCTGGTTTTCCACAAGGGGTTATTTTTGGTATTATGTGAAACAAGGTGAAAAATATTTACTGGGTATACGGCAAATATCGACTTGGGGGTCGAGGGAAGGTAAATATCGACTCGGGGGTCGAGAACAAATCAAAATATCAACTGCATGGTTGAAGGGGAAAAGGCAAATATCGACTCGGGGTCGAGAAAATAAAGACATGTCAACTCGGGGGTTGAAAAAAGGTAAATATCGACTCGGGGGTCGAGAAAATAAAGACATGTCAACTCGGGGGTTGAAAAAAGGTAAATATCGACTCGGGGGTCGAGAAAATAAAGACATGTCAACTCGGGGGTTGAAAAAAGGTAAAAAATCGACTCGGGGGTCGAGAAAATAAAGACATGTCAACTCGGGGGTTGAAAAAAAGGTAAATATCGACTCGGGGGTCGAGAACAGAAAAGACATATCAACGCGGGGGTTGAAGAAAGGTAAATATCGACTCGGGGGTCGAGAACAAATCAAAATATCAACTGCATGGTTGAAGGGGAAAAGGCAAATATCGACTCGGGGTCGAGAAAATAAAGACAAGGTTGACTCGGGGGTCAAACGTTATTGCAAGGTATCAACTCAGGGGTTGAGAAAGGGAAATGACTATGCTATGTATGCATATGGTACATGCCAATTATACGTGATGCATATGCAAATGCAAGCAAAGGATTGGTTTTATGAAGGTGCCAACAAGGGTGGACTTTGGTAGTTGCCAATAAAGGATTGGACTTTAAGAGATGCTAAGCGGGGTTGGACTTTTGGGATGCCAATCGGGGTTGGACTTTTGGGATGCCAATCGGGGTTGGACTTTTAATCGTTGCCAATACAAATTGGACTTTAGGAGATGCCAAGCGGGGTTGGACTTTGGTGGTTGCCAATACAAATTGGACTTTAAGAGATGCCAAGTGGGGTTGGACTTTTGGGATGCCAATCGGGGTTGGACTTTTAATCGTTGCCAATACAAATTGGACTTTAGGAGATGCCAAGCGGGGTTGGACTTTGGTGGTTGCCAATACAAATTGGACTTTAAGAGATGCCAAGTGGGGTTGGACTTTTGGGATGCCAATCGGGGTTGGACTTTTGGGATGCCAATCGGGGTTGGACTTTTAATCGTTGCCAATACAAATTGGACTTTAGGAGATGCCAAGCGGGGTTGGACTTTGGTGGTTGCCAATACAAATTGGACTTTAAGAGATGCCAAGTGGGGTTGGACTTTTAGGAGATGCCAAGCGGAGTTGGACTTTTATGTAGTTGCCAATAAAGGATTGGACTTTTGGTTTTTTTTATGGGATGCCAACAGAAGTGGACTTTATTAGTGGTTATGATTTGATTTTCCCGACACTCGATATCTGATAATTCCATGGACAAGAGACATATGCGGATGCTCTTGATGCCCCTAAATTTGATCCTTTTGCAAAAATTGCAAGCTCGTTCCTGAGAGAACTTTGACTTCTAGCCAATGTGCCATGACAGCTTACAAATGTCGAGCGTAGCGACGTAACCAAAGCATGTTGATCGTGTGAGCGTAGCGATTTAACCAATGCATGTTGATTAGGCTTTTGCTCTGCCCCAAGGCTTTTGACGCTTCTTGTGAACTCAACAGTTACTAGCGTCTGGCACGGTCTGTTTGACCAACTTAAAAGCAAGGAGGGAAATTGCCCCTGTTCAATGTAGTATGCCCCAGTCTGCTGGGTATTTGAAGATTTTTCCTTAAAGATTTATACCATGACATGGTCTACGATGATTGCCCTAGTGTCTGGATTTTGCAACAATATGCCCCTGTTTGAAACTCGGAAGAACTTGCCCCAGTCTGCAGGGTTATGAGAAATTCTTGATTCAAGTCAACCCCAATGAGTGATCGAGTTCCTCTTTGATTGCACTTTGTTGAAATTTCCATAATGTCAAGTACTGACTTGCAGTTAAAAATGTTCATTCAGAAATGGTAATTTTAATGCGATATTTATGCAAAATTTGAAAGGATCATTTATTAGAATGATGTGACAGTGTGTGATGAGCGGACTATTAGCCCAAACGTAGTGCTAATTTATCTGGTGCGAAAGATATAGCAAGAATAATGACACCAATGCTGGTGATTAGCAATCATGTGAGGAGTCAGGTTACGCAACCTTGCTGTAGTTATGCTTTCAGAATAAAACTCCGCCTCAATTAGGTCTTTTGAGGGTTGTATCGTGGTCTGGTTCATGGTTATGAAAACAAAGGATATTAGGCTCAAAGTATTATTTGTACCCACCCCTTCTTCGTAATGATCTCCATACCTACGTTTAGTTAATTTTGCACCTGCGTGACGGTGTAAACTTGATGGTTCAAAGTTTACCTGAAATGGCAGCCACCTTATTTTGATGGATGTTAGTAACCCCTTGATTTGGGTGGCCACTGAATCTTATTTTGTTTTTGGTGAGGGCTTGAGGACCTCTTTTTGGTTTTGTTTTTGATCCCTAACTTTTGCATGGACTGACTTTGCTTGTCAGATCCATCGGGATTGCCTTGATTTTTGCCTAAGTCTCATTTTGTGGTGTTCGACTTAGCAGACTTTTGAATTTTATTTTTGAAGGATTGTGACTGCCATGTCAAGGGTTATTGATGAACAACCATCTTGTCTTTGGGTTTTCTTCCGTGATTTGAATGCGTAATCAAGTTAACTGAATACTACCCATGTCCCAGGTTAAGTGTAAGGGTTTAGAAATCCGAAGGAAACTCCTACTTCTAGGCTCGAAGTGATTAACTAGGGACTAACTCCTTATCTCTTCAGTGTTTGGGAATTTGAAGCA